TAGGCAGGGCGACTGCCACAAATTCAAGGCCAGCCTGAACTACATAGTGAGGCGCTGTCTCAGAAACACAACAGTGGGGAAGCCACTTGACAGCAACGCCCTCTGTGTAGCCTGGGCACTGAGCGCTCACCCCGCCCAGGCGCTCACCACTGAGCCTAGTTCTCGCGTGCAATCTGCAAAGCAGCCTGTGGCAACAGGGGATCGCTCCTACTGTCCTGATTTTATGCGTGAGTGAAGTCTGTCAAGGATAAGGATCGCACCAAGGTCACAGTTAATGAGGTCCAGAGTCACCGCCTGAGTGCGGGCTGTCCTAACAAGGCACCATGAAACAGGAGACTGATACACTTATTTCTCACTGCTCTGGAAACAATGTCCAAGAATCCTGAGTTGGTTACCTGGAGGGGTTCCCTTCCTGGCTTGCAGATGGTGCCTTCTCCGTGTCACCTCACATGGGGGAGAGGAGAGCTCTGATGTCCACTGACTGATGGTGCTGATGTCTTTCTTGTTGAGTCCATTCCCAGTTTTGTTTTGTTTTGTTTTGTTTTTGAGAGTCTAAATTTCCCAGGTTAGGTTCAAACTAGAGATCCTCCTGCCTCAGCCTTGTAGAGTGAGGCATGTGTCACCACGGCTGGCTGTCTTTCTGTTCTCGTAAAAACAATAATCTCATTATGGGATCATCTTCTGCCCTCATTTATACCTCGTCATCTCCCGAAGGCTCCATCTCCAAATGCCTTCGAAGTGTGGCCTGGGTTTGGCAGGGACAGGAAGAGTTTCCAACAGCCACGCCACACACTTTGCAGCCACCGCATCACAGCGCCCTCCTGGGGCGCTGCAGCTGCATAAGCATCACCCGAGTCCTGGTTCACATCAGCTGGAAGGCTGGGGGGTGTCCTTCCAGGTAGCCAAGTTCCCGGTGTCCCATCGGCTCCAAAAATGTGATGCCAGGAGGAGTCCTGGCCACAGCGCCTCACACAGAAAGCAGAGAAGTCTGAGATGCTTCATGCTCCTCACAGACGGAATGAAACTCCCAACCTGATAGATGTCCAAAATGCCAAGTTCATGCTCTAAAAAATCGAGGAATGAGTTCTAGGAACAGAGGAGGTTAAGAGTAGGAGGAATTTATTGAGAGAAAGCTTCCGTCCGAGAGGGACAGAAGGGGTCCCGGAGAGCGGGTTGCCTGCCGACCCAGCTTCTCCAGGGTGTCTGTCGGCAAAGCCACCAGGTGAGACAGGCTCAAGGTGGGACACAACCATCACCAATCAATAGGACTATAAGCAGAGTCGCTTAGCGATGGAGACCACTGTGAAGCAGCTCGAGCAGGACTTGTATTAACCAGTTGGCTTTCCGTGTCTACTTGTGGGTCACTGGTCCCTACTGAGCCTGCAACGGTGGGTGAAGCCATGCGGCCTCAAAGGACCAGACAAGGCCACAGCTGAGGACTTTTGGCTCCAACCCCAGTTAACTAAAAGGAAACTGTAACTGCAAGCACCTCACTCCCGCAGTGAAGGCCTTCCTGGAGTTAACATCTGTTCTCCTAAATTAACAGAAGTATTGCTTGGAGAAGTCCTTAGAGGGATTCCCAAGGCCTGCCCAGTTTCTTGCATTTTCTTCAGTATCCCCCTCCTTTGTTTGAAAGCCAAATAAATATGGGCCACCCAGGGAAGTCTGGGTCTTACCAGAGAATCTTGAATTCTGTAATACAGCTGAACCCTCCTGGAGCCCTAAAATCATTTCAGTTGTCCCACTTATTTAAGCCTTCACCGTCCACTTGTTTGGGAGACTGTGGGCCTGGTCAGCCCACAATAACTAAGGGTCAGTAACTCGATAGCTTAGGTGATATTCATCCTATCGTAGGATGGATGTGAGGGGGGACAAGACAATGGTCAACCAGTAAGTACACAAGTATAGTCGCTTGGGTAAATATTGATTAAATGGGGATCCAATGGGAAAACAGTCTCACAGCAAGCTCACGTGGGGAGACAAGGACTTTCCCGGAAGGGGTGGGTGAGGAGGTTTGGTCCTCACCCAAAGGTGATTGATGCCTACTTAGAGTACCATTCTCTGCTCTTCATCCCTAGGGGAAGTGTATGAGTCAGTAGTTCTTCTCTTTCTTAAATCTTGGCCTTGAGTGAACACCCCTCCAGCCACAGCTGTCCTCTGCACTGCCCTCTCAAGGGCCCAGCCCTGTCTGACTGCCTACATTATTTCTACCTTACTTAGCTGTCTGGAATACTGTGACCTGCTGGGAGCTTCATGGAGCATATAAGGTTCCCAAGAATCCCTGGTGCAAAGCAAGCTTGTTCTGCAATCTGCCTGTTTTTTTTTTTTTTTTTTTTTTTGAGACGGGGTCTCACTGGCAGTTCAGGCTGGCCTTGAGCTCACTTTGGAGCCCAGGCTGGCCTTGAACTCACAATGATCCTCCTGCCTCAGCCTCTCGAGTGCTGGGATTACAGGCATGAGCCACCATGTCTAGCTGCCTGGTGTTTCCTACACGTGATTTTGCTGTGAAATCTCTGCTCTTACTATTCCTTGGAGCATGGGGTAGACATGCTGCTTAATCCACAGGCTGCAAAACTCCGAGCATCAGCTACCTCTGGGGCTCTGGTCCCTGTGCGGAATCTTTCCTCTCTTCAGCCTCGTCTGTGACTTGGATCAACGACAGTCCTGTATTTAATCTGAATCCTTTTCACTTCCTTTTCTCAAAATCCTTACAGATTTCCTCCTACCTTCATATATCTTACACTGCTGTACCTCAGAAAGGGTTCCAGGTCAGGAGGGGTGTGGTGGCCCTTGTGTGCAACCCTCACTCTCTCAGATACAACCAAAGTATTTGCAGGTGACACAGCTTGAACCCAGCCTGGCAATTCAGCCAGACATGTCTTAAAATAAAGGGCTGGTGTGTAGCTCAGCGCACAGGCTCTGGGGTCAGTCCCTCTAACTGTGCACACAAGCGCGTACACACACACACACACAAGCGCGTGCGCGCACCAGTTCAAGCTGGGGTGTAGCTCAGTGCTTCCTAGTATTCATGAAGCCTCGGGGTCAACTTCAGCGCCACACGCACACCCTTGCCAGTTCCTTTGGACTTAGGCTGTGCGTAGGGTAGGGCTGCCCGTGACAAAACCTAAACACACCATGCACGGGGCAGCTTCAGCACAGGCACTTGCTCTCACAGTCTGGAAACTGGAGGTCTGGGATCAAGCAGTAGGGAAAGTCAGGGGACAGGCAGGAAAAGTGAAAGGGCCTCAGTGGGGTTTCTGGCGAATAGTTAAAACCCTGCTCCAGAGGGTAACTAAGAAAATAGCACTGATGCAGACGTCTCTGAAAGTGCACACGCCCGGCATCGCTCCTCATAGGCACAGCACTCCCGCCGGATCTGGGCAACCCCCCCTGACCTCATTTAACTTCACCTCTCCAAAGGCCCTATTTCTAAATCAGGCTTCAATGTATGAATTTTAGGGAGATGCAATTCAGCCCATGACAGGCTACAGAATAGTTTTAGGAAAATCAACTTCTCAGCTAGCATGGTGGTGCAGGCCTGTAATCCCAGCACTAGGGAGGCTGAGGCAGGAAGATTGCTGTGAGTTCGAGGCCAGCCTAGGCTACACAGCAAAACCCTGTCTCAAAAACAAAACACAAAAGGAAAAGCTTCAACTTTTCGGACGCCATCTCTTCCCCTATTTTTTTTTTCTAACTTACATTAGTTTGCACAGTCCCATTTCTGGACCAGATGATGTGAAAATATTGAGTAATAGTTACTATCTCTACCAGAGTATGTTCATGTATACAGACACATAAAATATGCAACCTAAAAATGTATTGCTATTCAAATGCATCATTCTGACTTTAATGAGATGATGCAAGAGTAAAATAGCAAGCATAGGCTGGGGCAGGGCTAGGGCAGCGTTTCCAGGGGGTCAGCCAGGCTAGAGAGAGCGAGGGGAGAACAGCTGCCTGTGTTCGGTGGGTAGGAAGGAAAACAGTGGCCAAGAAATGACGGGGCCCGGGACAGCAGTGGGGTGGGAAGAGCATCCCAGTGAGGGTGTCTGTCACTCTCCAATCACTGGTGCCTGCAACCTAAAAGGAGGAGAGCTTCCCTCTGTCTCATGTTTCAGAGGGCTCACTCCATGGTCAGCAGGCTCCCAGGCACAGACAGCGTGGCAGACGGCAGCTGCTTAACCCACGGCAGCCGGGAAAGGGAGAGAATAGACGAGCCCGGTGGGGAGAATACACGCTTTCAAACCATGTCCCCAGTGACCTGCCTCCACAGAGGCCCCACCTCCTAAAGCACATTCAGATCAGCCATCAACCCACGGATGGACCTTCTGGTGAGTACACCACGCCCGTGATCCAATGCTTACAGGCAGCTGAGTTGGGTACAATTATTACAGGCAGTCAGAGAAGACACCTTGCAAATGGAGAGGTGGTACTTGCTGCAGGCCAGACCTCAAGACAGAAGTTTAAACAAATGCCCCCACGTGCTTCCCAAGGGATGGACATCGGGGATTGATATTCTAAACAGTCACTGACTCAGCCCCCTACAGGAAAAGCCCCCGTTGTGTATTCATGCCTGCTTGCTACGTGACTCGCTTCCCTATCTGATCCCGATTTAATCAATTTTACCTGAACAATTCTTACTGGCTGACCATAGCTTTGTCCCACCTCATGCCCCCCTTGTGACTTCCCATTTTTCCCCCCATTTTTTTTTTTTTTCGGGTAACGGGAATTGAATTCAGGACCTGGCACTTGCCAGGCAGGTGCTTGTGCTGCTGAGCTATATCCCGGGCCGTTTCCCCCAATGTGGACCCGCCTCACCTCATGGTTTTTGCTCTATAAAAATGCCTAGAAAAAACAGGTTCTGGGGCAACCCACGCAGGCCCCCCTGTTGTCCCTCTCTCGACAGAAGCTTTCTTTTCCTCAATAAATATATTCTGCTCTTAACCTCCATTGTTCCTAAAAGTCATTCTTCGATTTTAGAGAACACGAACTCGTCCCAGGTATCTTTCAGGTTGGGAGTTTCTTTTCCCTATATCACAATCACCTCTGTATCCAGGAGACTTCTGGGGACACTTTAAATCTGAAACATAACAAAGGGTCTCCACTCCCTCCACATCACTGCCCGGATGTGGGGTCTGGAGGTGGGAAAGCAGAGCTGAAGCTGGCCCAAGCCCAGCACCCGAGGGGCAGAGGCGGGAAGTCAGAAGGGACAAGGGAAGAGCTCAGCGGCCGATTTCTGGCCTTAGGCACGCTGCGCTCCAGGCGCCCGCAAGATGTAGGGACAAGGGAATGAGGAAGTTGGCCCGACTCCCTGTAGTACAGGCTGGGCTCCGAGGCACAGGTGACAGCTGTCCTCAGGGTGCTGGCGGGCAGCTGGGTGAGGGGACCACGGTGGTCCTGCAGCCTGAGGAAAGAGAAGCTACCCAACCAGACACCAAGTCCAAGACGGGCAACGTGCGTGGTGCTGAGATGAGACGGCTTGTGAGGAGACCCTTCAGGTTGGGCAGCTGATCGAATCTGAGGTCCTCTTGGCCTTCAAGGGAGGCCTTTCGCACAGTGTGGCAGAGCTGGTCCGACAGGGTTGAACGGGTGGGACCCGGCAAGGGGAACACTGGGGTGGCCTGTTTGTCACAAAGTCTGGCCCTCCTGGAATGAGAACGAGGTCAAGGAGGGGAGTTACTTTTCTTTTTTAAAGGATGTGAGGTAAGAGGGAAGAAATGAAGAAACAGAGGTAGGTAAACAAGAGACAAAATAAAATGAGAACTAAAAATTGTAGTTTTAGAAAGACTGAGGTGAGACCCTGTCTCAAAAACAAAAAGCAAACGAACAAAAAAACCCTGAGCTGGGCGTGGTGACGCATGCCTCCCAGCACTCGGGAGGCTGAGGCAGGAGGATCGTTGCAAGTTCGAAACCAGCCTGGGATCCAAAGTGAGCTCAAGGCCAGCCTGAACTGCATAGCGAGATCTTGTCTTAAAAAAAAAAAAAAAAAAAAAAAAAAAAAAAAAAGAAAAGAAAAAGAAAAGAAAGACTGAGGGCCGGGAATATAGCTCAGTGGCATAAGCGCCTGCCTGGCAAGTGCAAGGTCCTGAGTTCGATTCCGGGTCCCAAAAGAAAGCAAGCAAGCCTGCAACTTCCCGGGTGCAGCTGAAGTTACCAGTAAGCGATGTACATGGGCATCCCCTGGGTTGTTTTAGTCTTCTTTTCTTCCAGACCCTAAATTCCTCAGGATCAATTCATCAACTTAGTTACCAAAAAGAGCAGGAACCTGATCTTCAGGGACAGGACCTCGGGCTCCAGAGGATACCTACATTACCCCTTGGAACGCTCACACCTGTAAGGCGGGCCACCTCCCCTCCCCCGGCCGACCTCTGCTGCGCCGGCGGGCTTGCTGGGACCTCGGGGACCGTCGTGAGGACTAGGGTTGGCTCGGGGAAGCACGGGGGGCGTCGCGTACCGGGAGGGATTAGGGGTCTATCAGAACGTGACTGACAGCGGGGAGGAGCGCCGCGCGGCAGAGGCCCGGCGAAGGAGCAGGCAGCCCACGGGGCATCAGCGGCGGGTAGGGCCTGCCGAGCTCTCCACGCGGGACGGCGCCCGCGGCCCAGCGCTCGCCCACCGGCGTCCCCCGACGCCAGCCGACACACAAAGGCCCCCGCGAGACCACCAATCCGGCTCGCCTGCCTCTTTCTAGCCCTCCAATGAGCTTCTAGGGTGTGGCCATCACGCCAGACGCTGTCGCTGCCGATTGGCCGGTGTCTTCCTGGTGCGAGCGGGCCTGCCCAATCCGCGCCTGTCAGTCCACTCCGCGCGCCTCGGTAACGGCGAGAGCGCGGGCAGC